CAAACTACCGCGCACCGTCATCGGCGGTTATGCCGCCATCGGTCAACTCCTCCACTTCGCCGAAGATGACACAAAAAGTGGCTGCGTGAATAAGCCATTCAAGTCTTCTAATTGAATACGGCGAAGAAGCTCTGCGTGGGATGTAAACTGCGCCGTCAGGCGTGGCAACAATATGCAGAGCCTATTATTCTGGCGGAGGAGTGCCTGATGGTGCTCGAGACCTTTGGCTTCCAACAGCATGGTTCCATGCGCAGTCTTCTTCACTAAGTAGTGGGGAAGCACAGAAAGCAGGTCGGTCGTCACCCGCCAACCACCAAGTCCGCTCCTGTGTCCAGTGAAGCTGTTGACATGTGGGGTTATCCGGTCCTATAATTGTAGTGATAGCCGTTGGGGCCCTTCATTCCAAATGAACACATGTCAAGAGTTCCATAGGCAACACTAAGTTGCGATGTACCATAAAGCTGATGAAGCTGGATTCACAATAGTGAAATGATCAATGACCACCGTGTTCAATTTGGAATATGGCAATTCGACAGCCAAACTCCAACATAGAAGATCAATCGGCTGCCCAACTCTCAAACCATTCGACTTAACCTCAATCTTACCAAACATAACAGGTTGCCATGTGTACGCGTAAGAGGAATGCGCGCAACCTTCATCGCCAATCTGTGCTCCGTCTCTCTGGATAAGAGAGTTGGCATGGTCAGTGACCGGAATATCGGACTCAGGACGCTCAGAAGTCAGAAGTGCAACTGGATCTAACGGCACTTCAAAAACTTACAACTTCTACTGGATTGGAATCCTTGCGGCCTTGCTGATGTTGACCTTTAGAATACGAGCGCCTAGACCTATACCAACCATACTGCCATGAGAACTGATTATCTTGCCTTTAATCCGTTTACCACTGCGTGTTCCGTCGGATTTAACCTTGGACGCGCTTCTGTCCAGTATAATAGAATGGACCGTTACTCAGCTGAAGTCTTGCAGACATGTCTCGTCTGAGGTCGTCTGACTGTTTAGCTTCCAGGTAGGACTTCATGGCAAGTGTTCTGAGGGCATCAATGCTCTTTTCAGGAGAAGGAAGTGAAGCAGTTAACTGTTCAGGTGACATGTTGTCTTGATACAAAAGATAAGCAGGTCGCCTACCAAATGCCATCTCTAGTTCAGAGACTCCACCAACTGTTACCATTGAGTTCCTGGCTAGCGATGCTTCTCTGAGGAGTTGACGTTTGGAGAACTCGTATCTTGATGGATCCTCAGTCACGGCCTTGAGCATCAGGGCGATCTGCCCTTTGCGCATGCGAACAGCTGCTTCAGCTCTGTTTGGCCATGGAGTACCAGGTCCTAAAGTAATTGGTCGGATGTTCTTTCTGTTGTAAAAGGCTTCAAGTTCAAGACCCATGAAACCTTGATCACCGACAATATACTTAGGATTCGGTTGATATGTTTCAAAAAGTACTCCAAAAGATGTCCAATGGATTCTGCTTCAGTCTTGCCGCTACATACGTGGGCAGTGGTCAATGAAGTGGCGCCGTCATAAATGCTAAGAACAAAAGCTTGAACTGCTCATTGATAGCGAGTTCACCGTGATCAACAAAGGTGACTTCCCCGAAGGTCTCGCTTCTCACGCCTGAAATTCTTGATCGAGAAGGCGCTATCTTAGACTTCTGACAGGTCTCACACTGTCTGCCCACCTTGTCATACATATTCGTCGTAAATCTTCACAGGGATCTTCAAAGCTGAAAAGTTTGTTTCTTGAACTGTTCGGTTGACATGTGCTTGTGTTTCAGACGCAGTTTGAGAAGTTCAGGTGGATGAGACAGCTTTTCGTGGTTTCTCTGCACTAAAGCTAACAGCAAAGTCATGGAAACCTTTGGATCCTTCTTTTCACTCCGTTCAATGGTTGGTTCTTCTTCTTTCTTTTCTTCCTGAGGCGCTGACTTCACCGGCTCATCTGCTGCAGGAGCATCGGGCTTCTTGGCTCCTGAACTGGAACTCGGAATTGCAGAATGCTCAACAGGTGCTCCGAAATCCGGTGACTTTTCCTTGAGAATGTCGGAGGTGTCACTGTCTTAGCCGGAGGTAGCATCGAAATCAGCTTTGGCGGTTCGATCTTGGAATCTCCGCTGGAGAGCTTCTTTTCTGGCTTCTTCTCAACCAGAATATCGGTGGAAGCTGTCGGTTTGACATTTCTGTCATCCGGAATATCGGATGGACTTGCCTTCTTGCAGCCGTCTATAAAGTATGCGCCCGGCGTTTACTGTTACAGGCTGGGCACGCTGCAAACAAAAGGCTCACGGCTGTGAAACTGTGATTCGGCTTACGAACAGAGTATAACAGAGCTGGCGAACATCATGATGTTTGAGACATTGTGGTTCGATGCGCTGACTGGCAACGAAAAACGCTTCAAGCCGAACAGTGGGCAAATCAAATAGTCACCGGCCGGCGTGCGCTCGATGGACGCGCGAAGGTTCCTAATGGCTTGGTACGCCGCCTTGGTCGGGAAATTCGAACGCAGTTGAGATCCACCCAGAGGGTGCTTAAGTCATTCTCAAAGTAAATCACCAGTTTCTCACGGACGTTGGACTGCTCGCCGTTTGCAAATGAAAAACGGTTAGATGATGCTTCAAAAAGAAAGCTGATCTTGCGCGTTTTTTTGTGATTCTTGCGCGCGCGAACCAAGCGGTTGACGACAGTCCTGGATTGCATAGCTCGAGCGCATCCGGAGTCAATGATGACGTAGGCGGGAGAATACCTCAGGTCAGATCGATGTATTCACTGAGCAATGCATGATGGAACACATCGTCGAAGTTGACAAAGAAGAACAGAAACATGGATTTACTGCTTCAGAATCACCGGAATATCGGCAATCCGTACCACTGCCAGGAGGGTTTAGGCGATACCGTTGTGAAACACGTTCGACACCGCAAGATTACCGTCATATCGAAAATCGGTCGGCTGGTTGCTCTGGTCAGGCCTTGGCTTTGACCAAAAATGCTCGTCATGACTCGGATTCGTCTGTCCCCCGCGTAATATGTCCATTGTTGCCAAGAGGCTTCATTTGCCTGCCATATATCATCTGGATAACTGTACTGGTCAACACGATTACCATAAGAGCGCCATGACCAACTTGCCTCGTGAGCGCTCCAAGCTTCTTCGGCCTTGGGATTTTGCTGAGCTGATGAAGGCTCTTTGATAGCAACACTTGACTGCTGATTCTGGTTCTGTCGCCTGCCTTTAAGTTGCTTGTAAATGCATCTTTTCCTTTGAAATCGTTCTTTCCACCTTTCTTTCCCTTTTTGCCTTTTCCATAGCGGAGTTGTCAGGATACTCTGCATAATGCGCACCTGCACCTTTGCCTCTACGGCTTGTGAATCTGGGTCGTCTACCTTTTCCGCGGCCTTTTCCCTTGCCGCCTTTGGATGGTTTTCTGAACCTTCTTCCATGAATTCTCCTACAGGCGTATCCTCCTTTGGCTTGCAACACCCGAAAATCGCATTCTGAGAACTAACTCGCAAATCCTGATTCTGCGCCTGTGCCCTGATCCATGACACAGTAACCGGATTCTTCCTCCAAGTCTCCTTCATCGAGGACAAGGAAAGTTGATCTTTTCTGCGCGCAAATCGAGGGGTCGGCAGTTCCTGTGGCGGTTTCGCAAAAGAGATCAAGAAATAAGCCTTTCACTGCCATGTATGTATAGTTGTTCACGCCTACTTGACGTAAAGACACGCTGGCTACAAACTCTCTCTGCGCTGTTCATTGAGATCAGAATGGACAACAAAGATAAGCGACATCAGGTTGTCTGACAATGGGAAAATGTCACGATGTCCGGCTTTCATGTTGTCGATGTATTTGTTTCTGACCCTATCGGCAATTTCTCTACGCTCTTGTCGACTTTGAGTGGCTCTTACTTGCTAGTTCAAAGCGAGCAACCCAACTGACAAATTCACCGTTTCCGCGCCAGGTCTTAAAGCGCTGCGTAAAACGCCAGAGGAAAACGTGATTGCTCCTTTGACGAGGTACGGGCGCAACGTGTCCTTGAAGTACTCAACACCGCGCCTCTCGTCGCGAAGCTGCTGATTGTCGAGCATTTTCTTATAATACTCTGCGTTTCCGGTCAAGGCGTTTTTGAGCGAAGGACCCAGCTTCTCTGCCGAAAGTGTGGTACTATTTACCCAGTCGTCTATCAAATCTTTAACCTCAAACCACGACGACTGTCCATCAAAGGATGGGGCTGTGACTCCATGCATCGGCTTCGATTCGCATGTTGCAAATATATAGAGACCTTGATTGCTGGGCTCGGAATATATAGAGCTTCTGATCAGGTTCCGACTCTTCCTGACTATACTCTGGTTCGTTGTCCGTGTCTACGTTAAAGATCTGGACCGTGGTCACTACTTTTCAGACAGTGGGCAAGCTTTGGTTGTCTCCTGTCCGGAATATCGAAGAAACACACAGACACGAAGTGAATTTGGACGAAGCGAAGCAGGAGATACAAGCTCCGCTACCACTTTCAGGGGTGAGTTCCCCAAGGCGGCTTATGACGCTGGACCTAATCAAAAACACCAAGTATGCCCGAAGCGGTAGTCGCGAGCGAACTTCGAAGTGAGCTCGGACTTTTCTATGGCTGCGCAGTGGTACAATGCAAAAGTACACATGAGTTAAGCTATAGTATAGAGCTACGAAGATACGGACAACAGTATATACAAGGAAAAGGTGCTACACACGTATAGCGTAGACACGCCTAGGGGAACCTAGGACCCTACAAATCACAGAGGGAGGGAGTGGGTGCGTGGGTGAGATGAGTTGATGTGAGTTGAGTTGGCGCAGTGTAAGCGAAGGAGAAGGAGAAGGCGGAGGAGGTGGTGGATGGAATGCACAGTAAAAGTAAGACCCCCGCACAAAAATGTGAGGCGAGGAAAATCTAAAAAGTAATGTTGGAGAAAAGTAACTGCAAAGGATCCGGAAGATCCCTTCGGCGAATTCGGTGTTTTTCCGTCCTTCCGCAGGTCTTCTTCTGGTTTTTCTTGACCTGGGAGGAGGTGCACTGGGGCGCTGCTGCTTTATCATCGTTTCTCTACTGACTAAATTCAAACCCTAAAGGCTGAATCTGAATGTCCCACAGTTTGCAGTCGTGATAGTTGGACAATTGCACTCTTGACAAACGTGGAACAAAAACACATGAAACAGCATCCAATATCTCAAATGATTGAGCAGCAATACCTGAATACCTCCCAGCAGGAGTTGCCAACAAACCCTCTCATGGCTATCAGATCTGCTTCCTGCTAGAAGCTCATGGTGGCAAGGTGGGTGACCTGTGCACCTACAAGTCCACAAAACACATCTTTCCGTCATCTTCCTGTTGCTAAGCAGGTATGCGGTCTGTTGAGTAGAAAGCTGAAACTGGGCCGGGTGTTTGAAGTTGCACCCTCAAAGTGCGAATCACCACAAAGAGCATTCAATATGTTAGGTTGTCCCTTTCATAGTCGATGCCCTGGTAACGCAATAGGTAGGAAGATGCAGCCAGAACTTTAAAAAACTGTTCAAGGCAGAAACACAATCGGATGCATGCATCTTGATGCAGCTCAAAACGGCCTTGGTCATCACACATGTTCCGGGATTTGATGGGGAGGGCCACACGTGAAAGCTATGGAAGCTGGCAGCTGAATGTTCATGCTTTTTTCCCGAGAGCGCCTGCGAACGGTTCTTCGCAAAAAAACATCTGCAGAACTACGTCTCGTCTACATCTTCACATCTTCACCTCTGCGCATCTACATTTTCACCTATATCTCTCTGCTCATCTTCATATCTTCACACATCTACATGACACATCTTCACATCTGCACATCTACATCATCCCTGCACATCTACATTCTCTCCTCTTCACATCCGGACATCTACATCTCTGCTCATCTTCACATCCTCACATCTGCACATCTCACATCTTCACCTCTCGCTCTTCTGGACATCTACATCTCTGCTCATCTTCACATCCTCACATCTGCACATCACACATCTTCACCTCTCGCTCTTCTTTACTTCCTCTCTTAAGGCCGGGGGGCGGCGCCGCCGGAGCATCACGGAACGCAACCCTCTGCGGAGATCGTGCCCGTCGAGGGAGCGAAATGCAGGCGAGATTGCGTTTTGGCCCGGTCCGGCGCAACCCTCTGCGGAGACTGCGCGCGTCGAGGGCACGAAATGCAGGCGAGATTGCAATTTGGCCTGGTCCGGCGCAACCCTCTGCGGAGATCGTGCGTGTCGAGGGCGCGAAATGAAGGTGAGTTTGCGTTTTGGATTTGGCGCGGGCGGCCCTCTGCGGAGATCGTGCGCGTCGAGGGCGTGAAACGCAGGTGAGATTGCGTTTTTGCCTGGTCGCGCGCAACCCTCTGCGGAGATCGTGCGTGTCAAGGGCACGAAACGCAGGCAAGATTGCGTTTTGGCCCGGTCCGGCGCAACCCTCTGCGGAGATCGCGCGTGTCGAGGGCGCGAAAATGCAGGCGAGATTGCGCGCTGCACTTTTGGAGGAAGTCTCGTACGAAACGCTCGTTTTGGAGACTTGGCACTTTACGAAACGCTGGTTTTGGAGACTTGGCGCTTCACTTTTGGAGGAAGTCTCGTGCGAAACGCTCGTTTTGGAGACTTGGCGGTCTCGTACGAGACGCTCATTTTGGAGACTTGGCGCTTCGCCGCTTCGCACTTTTGGAGGAAGTCTCGAAACGCTCCTTTTGGAGACTTGGCGCTTCACGTGTGGAGCTGGACTCGGACCTGGCCTGTTTGTAGTGCAAATTTGCGGGAAAGAGTTTTTCGGAGCTGGACTCAGAAGTGGCCAGTTAAATGTAGTCCGAGAAGTGTTTGCTTCTATAGGGTGACATGATTGCTTCCAGTGTGTGGGCAGACCGTGTGGCGAATTACGTGATGTCGCAGTGCCATGCGGATTTGCGCGGCCGGCGCCGTGGGGAGCGCGAAACATGCTGGCGTAGACGCGGCGTGTTGCTGAGGCTGGTGAGCGGGACAATTGGCGGTATCGTGTGATAGGATTGCTTCTAGTGTGTGGGCAGACCGTGTGGCGAATTACATCCGTGATGTCGCAGTACTATGCGGATTTACGCGGCCTTGGTGGAAAGTGCGTTTGCGCGGCGCCGTGCCGCTGGGGAGCGCGAAACATACTGGTGTAAACGCGGCGTGTCGCTGGTGAGCGGGATGATTGGCGGTATCGTGTGATAGGATTGCTTCAGTGTGTGGGCAGACCGTGTGGCGAATTACGTCCGTGATGTCGCAGCGCCGTGCGGATTTGCGCGGCCTTGGTGGAAAGTGCGCTTGCGTGGCGCCGTGCCACTGGGGAGCGCGAAACACGCTGGTGTAAACGCGGCGTGTCGCTGGTGTGCTTTATAACTTATATCAGTTTGATTCGAACCTCTTCAACGTTGTGCTTGACCCACAACGCTGCGCTGCCGTTGCATCTGCACATCTATACGTCTACACCCCCTCACCTCTGTACATGTACATCTTCACGCGCTCACATCCGCAGATCTACCTCTCTACCTCCACACACCCACACATCTGCACATCTATATCACATCTGTGCATCCACACTGTCACTCCTTCACATCCGCCCTCTCTTTCTTTCTTTCTACAAATCTTTTCTCTCACCTCTGTACATTTACATCTTCACACGCTCACATCTGTAGACCTACCTCTCCACCTCCACACATCTGCGCATCTATATCGCACCTGCACATCCACACTGTCACTCCTTCACATCCGCCCTCTCTTCTCTCTTTCTACATATCTTTTCTCTTCATATTTTAGATTCAATTTCTTCGCAACTTCTTACTCAATAACAGATTGTATAAAGAAGTCATGGCTCTTGGACAACTCGATTTTAATTGTTTCATGACTCGACAGTGCTGGACAATCACCTGTCTCGCTCTCGGGCCAACCGTCGTCTAGTTGTTCACAGCCTATAGCCTATACCAAATACTAATATAGCTATGGCGATGGCAGAACCTTCTTGCACATGTTGCCCCCCAATGAGTTGCCACCTAATCGCTTAAATAACATCCTCTTGGCCTCTTGGCTTGTGGCCAAGCCAAGGCGCAAGTGGGGCCAGGCCCGAAGGTCAAGCAGGTGCCGAACACGAGGGCAAGCACAGTGATGGCCTCCAACCTACTATAGCAATGACCTCCAACCAACCTACTAGCGATGGCCTCCAACCTAGAAGCGATGGCTTCCAACCTACTACAAGTAGCGATGGCCTCCAACCTACTAGTGATAGCCTCCAACCTACTAGCGATGGCCTCCAACCTACTATATAGTGATGGTGACCTCCAACCTAGAAGCGATGGCCTCCAACCTAGAAGCGATGGCTTCCAACCTGCTACAAGTAGCGATGGCCTGCAACCTACTAGCGTTGGCCAACCTACTAGCGATGGCCTCCAACCTAGAGGGGATGGCCTCCAAGCTACTAATGATGGCCTCCAACCTACCAGCAATGACCTTCAACCTACTAGCGATGGCCTCCAACTTAGAAGCGATGGCTTCCAACCTGCTACAAGTAGCGATGGCCTGCGACCTACTAGCGATGGCCAACCTACTAGCGATGGCCTACAACCTAGAAGGGATGGCCTCCAACCTACTTGCAATGACGGCCTCCAACCTACTAGCGATGGCCTCTAACCTACTACAAGTAGCGATGGCCTCAAACCTTAGTGATGGCCTCCAACCTACTAGGGATGGCCTCCAAACTAGAAGCGATGGCTTCCAACCAACTACAAGCAGTGATGGCCTCCAACCTTAGTGCTGGCCTCTAACCTACTAGCAATGACCTCCAACCAACCTACTAGCGATGGCCTCCAACCTACTAGCGATGGCCTTCAACCTACTAGCGATGGCCTCTAACCTAGAAGCTTCGCTTCCAACCTAGCCTACTCGCAATGACCTCCAACCGACCTACTAGGGATGGCCTCCAACCTACTAGCGATGGCCTCCAACCAGCCAAGATAAGATTGGTAGCCGCAATCGCTCAGGCTGAGGGTCAAGCCATCGCTGTGTGTCACGGTCAATGAAGTGGTCTTTTATTGGAAGCTCAGCACTCGGTGTGTCATCCAAGTCCCTCCGCAGTTAAAGCTTTCTCCTATGCCTATGACTGCTTGAGATGTCTTCAGGCCTTTCAGAGATCGAACTATTGCCACGTCTACAACAAATAGACTGGCAAGGCCTCAGAGGAATGATGGTGGCCCCGCCGATCGTTTTGGCGCCTTCGACCCGGCTAGCACAAGGTACGAACTAGACTGCTGAAATTATACAGAAATACCCTGGCAAAAGCATGCCTTTGGCTTCTCTAACTGCATAAATGTTTAGGCGACCATCCATCAGGACTCAGAACATGATACGAGTAGGCATGACGTGTTGGACGCAAAGAACAAAGGTTTGGTGAGTTTGGTGGAACGAGTTGCAAATTTGGTTGTTGAGTTGCGGCTGGTGTTGGCTCTCTCCCTGCAACTTGTGCGAGTCAACTGTCCAAGCAAAACTTCCGTGAAATAGGAATATGGGATGGCTTTAGAATGTCTGAGCTACGGAGTCGTGTGGATGCAGACAGTTGTACTGTAGAAGGGCGACGAAATGCATGGAGGAAACTAAACAGTTCCCACGATGGTTCAGACGTCGAAGGCCTGGTCAAATAACCATAGGTCTCGGCATCCGGCAGCCAGTGTCCAGAGCCGTTGCACAGCGTTGTATTCTGGAATGTGTTGATATGGGGAAACATAAAGCGTTCAGAGAAAGAAGAAGTGATCAACAATGACCAGGGACATCACCAATTCAATATATGCCAAACCGCTGTCAAGGCCTTCTACATAACATTGCAAACCTTCGACTGTCGTCCGCATAACGTTCCCATATTTCCTATATCTCCTTTGGTCATAACGTTTGACGCTTCTAATACCCGCCACATACCTTTTCAAGACATGTTTCTTCATCGCCCTGGTATGGACCAGCGGCCACAAAACGACACCCGCTAGGTAAGACAATATTATTAGGTTGTCTTCCTACGACCCGTGGCTAACCACTGGTTCGCGGTGACATCTTTCTTTTCACAGGTAAAAATCGCAATGGCCAATGGATTCTTCGAGGACATTTGGAAATTCTAGCGTCTCTTTGCACTGAGCCTGACCTTGGTGATGGAACACTAAGGTCAGGGCGCTTCTGCACTTTCTTTCCCTCTTCGGCCCATTCTGGTGCCTGTCCTCGGCGATACCTCAAGGCATGGAGTGACTTCACCACCTTGAGAAAGGTGTCAAATGCACTGCTTGGCTGGTGTGGCTCACCTAGTGACTTTTTTGGACCCATCATAAGCTGGCTTGAATCTTGTTTTGGTCGGGTCCTGCAATGTCTTGCACGCAATGGCACCAAAAAGGCAGTTTACTTTATCAAGTCGGCTCCTCTCCGCGCCATAAAATCGAGTGCTTGTACCTCAAGCCCAAAATCCCTACCCGAAGCTCTCTCCTCTCAAATTGGCTCTTGGCATCTCTTAGCTCTACACTCAGCCGTCGCCATTGGTTGATTCTAACAATGTCAAGCCAGCCACCTCAAAAGCAAACAGAACAAAATAATCTTCTCAATTGGCTAAGTGTCGTGAGTCCACAACGAGAAGCATCATAATAATACAAGAGAAAATACAATTCAGTGCTGTATTGTCCGAGGCATTTGCGCAGCATCACATCGAGCTCCGCTTTGACCCGGTGATATCATGTCTTGAGGGTCTCGAGTCAAGCTGCGTCATGCTGTGTCCACTTTCCTAAGTTTGGTGTGTTGCTTTTGTGGCTGAGGTCAAATTAGGGCTCCGTTGTTGCATGTATGCCTCTGCCGCCTTTTCCATTCATCCAGCCTTGCATTCCCTGCACTGGAGCCTGGTTGTATTGAGGGTGCCATCAAAAGCATTCTGTCACTCCGCGAGGATGCATCTCGTTGGGCACTAGAATTCACTGGCACAACCTCGAATGGCACTGCAAACATGATACAATGAAGCAAGCAGTTTCTGCACCCGGCAATGGCTGGCTTTGAGCTCTTGTTGTGGCAAATAGGGCTGTCATTTGGCGCCCACAAGGAAAGGGCAACAGGAACAACATGCTACACTCAGTGTAGCCACAAAGGTTGTTTTGTTGCTAGGACAATTCCTTGGCGTCTTACTTCCAACAATCCTAAACAATAGATGTCTCACCTCAACAACTAGAATTCCAATTCTTGGAAAACGCGGCAGAAACGCCACAATTGCATGAGTCACAAACGTCATTTTCCTCAGTCAAGCAAAGAGTAGACGGGAGGGATTCCGGACATTGTTTGATTTTCCAAGAGCAAACTCCAAACATGTGCAAACTCCGAGCACGCGCCTGTCTCACATTCGGCAAAGGGGTCATAATTCCTTGCGCACGACGCGGTAACCGCTTGAAAATATTCATTTTGGCAGCGCATGCGGTGTTTTCGGCTGCTCTAGTGCCCTTGCACACATCAAAGCTCCCTGCAAGTTTCGAATGCCACCTTAGATGCGAACAACCTGAGCACCTAGAAACTGCCACTCCGGGGACAACCCAGTGGGATGCCCACCCATATTGGCTGGACCAGGCGATGGCTGACCAAATGGAAGCCTCGAAAACATGATCGGTAAAACCACAAGTTGTTCGAAACATGATGACAGAAACGCAAACTCTTGATAGAGACTCAAGCTTTGATGGCTTGTGTGCCCCCCACAAAAAGAATACGATACTGCAAGTCCACCTTTTGATAACCCTGAGCCTTGAGGCTTTGATTGAATAGAGAAGTGGTAGCAAGAAGGTGTGTCAACAAGAAGGTTCGCTCAATAATAAGTGGATAAAATGTGACTGGGGAGAGTTGTCCACAAAAGTGAAGGCGGTAAAGGTAAAGTGGAAGTGAAACAAGCCAAACATTCGCAGCATGCAGCGTATCGACATTCGTTCAAACATGTTTCCTCGCCACCCCGACACGCCGCGTTAAAACACGCATGCTTCCAGGGCCCAATGGCGCGGAGCCGCGCAAACACGCTTTCCACCGAGGTCTCGCCAAACCCCATGGCACAGCGACATCACAGACCTAGTGACTAGTGGCTTCTCCACATCGTATGCCACTGTTGGTGCAATGCTGCGACAAGCATCCCGCTCACCAGCGACACGCCGCGTTCGCACATGTCTTTGTCTGTATCTACTCAAGGAGCCATGCAACCGCACTTTCCAAGTTGTCAAAATGCAACACTATGACATCAAGCCGCGCTGACACCACCAATCGTCCTCACCAGCGAAGCCGCGTTTACACATGCATGCTTGTCGTTCCCCCATGGGATGAAGCCACGCAAAGGTCACTTTCCACCAAGGCCTTACCAAACCGCATGGGATATCAAGATAAGTTGGTGAGAAGCAACTTCATGTTCAAGGACAGTTTCACACTTTGTCAACACGCACACCTTCGTGCTCAACGACAGCTTCGCACTTTGGCCATCTCAACCTTCATGTTCCACGACAGCTTCACACCTTGGCAACCTCCATAAAGATAAATTTGTAAGATGTGAGAGATGTATATATATATATATATATTCGCACAGATGTGAGATGTGATTCAACCACCCCTCTTTGAGAAGAACCCTGCACTCAGCAAAAACAAGAAGGAAATCAATGATATCCGATGAAAGGCTGATTGATTGAATACGAAGAAATGTCCCTGCAGGCGTCATGAATCAAAACATAAACAGTAAAAACTGAGCTTAGGCGCTGACGAACCTGGGCCCGGACCCGGCATGGTACCTACGCGGTTGGCGGTTCTGATTTCAAGCGGAACGTGTAGGGCATGCAAATCGAATCAACCCGCAAGGCTAGGCTCTTGGGAAACAGCAACGTCTGATCCTTGCCACTGTTGCTCACTACTAGAGTCCGCTCTTTGAGAGGTTTCAGTGCTTCAGTACATGGAAGAACAGAGATTGCACCCTTGAATCAAAATAGCAAGTTCACCAATCCCATAATGCTGGGTTGTTGTCGGCTATCATCTACCCGCCCTGCCTTCCAACAGCTTCAAGAATTCTAACTCACACTGATCACTCGGCTGACCATTACTTGACCGTCTGGGGCTCTAATTTGCTCCAATTCTGAAATCCAAACTTACAAAGAACAGCATGAAGGCTTGACAAAATATTCACGTTTCAATTCCAGTTATTCTTGTGACTAGTCTACAATGCTTGTTGTGCGCAAGAAACAAAAAGAAAAATGTCAAGCGGATCTTCTGAAGTTGCCTCCACAGGCATTTGGATACCTCGAAACAGGAAAGGGCTGTCCAACGACAAAGCAAGTTTTGACTCTGCTAAGGCAAACGCCCTATCGATGCATTTCCTGAAGCCAAGGGGATCCAAAGGCTGTGGTATTTGCATATTTGGTTGCAGCAAAACTTGGGAACAAAACAATAAAAGTCCCTGTTCTCAGGCCGAGAAGTTCTCACCAACTTCTTCAGAGGGGTTCAGAGAACACAAACCGGTGGCTTTATATAGAGGAGAGTTGAGTAGACAAGCAACGCCAATGTCCTTGTTGCTGCTGCCTTTGCCTTCAAAATCAACCGTGGTGCAAATAGATATTCGCAGTGGTTGTATATTGGAATTAATCCCTCTTCGCATCTCCCCACTCCAGATCTCTCGGCACGCCCAATCAGGAATCTCCACCGGGAAGGTTGCAAACAACCCCACCGAGTGAAAGAAAGAGATCCATGCCTTTTCAAGTGGAGGTGCTGAAAAGTCGCCCAAAAAATGTTGGTTCCAAGCAGTTCAAGAATGGGTTCAAACGGCTTCAAACCAACCAGCTCAAAAAATTAGAAGGCTCTGCAAGGTCATGGTTGGCAATTGTCTTTTTGCGAGAGGGGACTTCGTGACCTATGGCCTTGAGTTCTCTACTTTCCTTGTTGCATCCACACCAGTTTCAAAGCACTCCTTTGATTGAGGAAAAGAGCATCACACAACCCGACAGAGCGCCACAAGAATTCGAACACCTGTGGGAGGCTAAGTTCCAAAAAGAAATTAGACGACGGATGGCCCGGGAGCGTGAAAAGTAAGAGCATGCAGAAAAGTGGTAAGTATTTCAGGGCATTTATACGGGAAGTGTGCAAGAGTGAGGGTTTCGCAGAGTTTGTACGTAAAGCCGTGCCAATAACAACAACAGAAAGAACAATGTGGTCCTATCTGCGATATATGATAATGTGTTTCATGTGCAGAGACGCAGAGATTCTCTTTCCTTTCCGGACGCACGCTCATCGAGTCAGTAGCAGGGGTTTTGCATGCAAGCACAGTGAATTTCAAGCAATGTGCTAGAAGAAGACGCAATGCAGTAAACGAATGAAAAAGACAGCGTAAGACTTTTCTTGGAAGCAGTGCGTATTTGAAAGGGGTGGCTTTATATCGTATAGTGCTGCGCGGACGCAATACTGTACGATGTGAGGACTACGAAGAAAAAGCAACGTGTAGCGGCGTAGCGAGCTCATCTTCATTAAGGAATTGGCCTTGGCATTGGTCCTTCCTTCCAGTCAATGCTCCTCAAACACACCGAGATTCGTACGCCTTGCCTGGGCCTGGAGGCAAAGAAAGAGGAGACCATCGTGGAGTGAAGAGAACGTGACAGAGTGGGGTTGAATGGCGACCAAGATGTAATGCATCTACGGTCCATGATGTTGAAGGAGTTCAAGGCTGAGGACACCGTTGGACGCGGCCCATCCAGCTGTGGAGACCCATCCTCGAGGACGCCAACGACCCTGAGCGATCGGTTCTTCCAATGTGGATGGAAACAGGCTTCCCCCTTGGCATCAAGCAGTGCATTCAATAGACAGTGATCTTTCCGAAGACCTATTGAGGACACTGGCGCGGTAGAAGCGTCATGTTTACAAGGAGTAGACTTGCTGGGCCAGATGGTGAGCGAGGGTCGCGCATCTTTGTTTAGGAGCTGGGCAGATGTTGTGAGTTTCATAGGTGAGGAGGCGCCGCTGACAAAGATGGGCTGTGAGAAGGTACGGTGCAACCCGAGAAGACAGCGATGAGTCTGGGAAGGCATATGTGTGTAGGTCGTGTAGGTGCCAAGGCACTTGTCATGGGTTCACCGTGTTAAGATTCAGGATGGGCCTGGCATGCCAGGGGCGCTGGACCAGTACGCACGCACAGACACAGGGAGAGATGTGAAATTCAACATGACACTGTTCCCAACATTGAGGGAGATATACCTCAACATTGTGGCTCAACACTAGGGCCCTTGAGCACATTCAACGTACAAACAAAAGGCGCGAGCATTTCAGCAAACAGTTCAACAATACTTCAAACTTCACATGGTAGCGGAGCAGACCTGGAAACGATCCGGGCTGCTCAACTGATCAACCGATCAGTCACAACAACAAAGCATAGCATCAACAGCCATTGCCGGAGAGGCTTGATCTACTGATCAGCAACGGGCCAGTAGGGACTTCTTGACAATGGCGGCAAGCTCACACAAGTACCGCATCAAGCCACCAACATTTGACGGCAACTATGCACACTTCGAGGAATGGAAGTACAAATTCACAGCATACATGGGACTCACAAACAACAGGTATCCACTACTGCTAGACTAGACAGCAGCAGCAGCCACCCTCATTGATGAGGCAAGACTACGAGGAGCAGCATCAACAACAGAAGAAGCCAACGAGAACATCCAAATGTCAGCAGATCTGAAGTACATCCTCATCAGCATCACCAGTGGATCAGCTGCGATGATTTGCAGACAAGGAATATGAAGTCAACAGATTTGAGACAGACAACCAATCACCATTGCCAGAAGCAGTCAAAGTCGCCATCTTGCTCAACGAGACCAAAGGTTCACTACAGCAACATCTACAACTACAAGCAGGTACAAACCCAACATACACAATCCCCACCCCTAAGGGGGGGGGACCTGTCTAAATGTAAGCTACAGTTTTTGCAACTTTGGGCTTAAAAAATGTAAGTTACATTTTCTTAGGGACACCTCAAAAAATGTAAGTTACATTTTTTGAATAAATGTAAGCTACATTTTTTGAGGTTCCGTTTTTTTGACGCCTTTCTGTGTTTTACCTTTTCCTCTAGACCGTCTTCCTTTTCTTTCTGCTATTTTTAAGACTTCCAAGCCAGTGACAGAAGCATGCATGTAAAGTATGTTTTTTATGGTTTCGTTATTGTTTTGGTATGATTTGTTTTTTCTCAAGCCTTTGGGCAACTCCAAAGCTTGACCTTTTGGTAGCCTTTCCAGGTGGCTTTGGGGAACCTGCCTCCATCCTTCGGAAAAGGAAAGCCATACCAAAATCATATCAAAACTATATCAAAATCATAACAAAACCATGTGTTACACGTTTCTTATGGTTTTCTTAGGACCCAGCCACCCTGGTCATCTCTTACCTCCACAACCCAACCTAGTTTCAAGCCCTTGAGCCATTCCAAGGCCTTTTGACCTTTTGGTAGGCTTTCCAGGTGGCTTTCAACTTTCCATATTGATTGTTTTTTTCCCATATGCATCTTTAGTTCTGTAGATATTTGTAGATTCCATATGTTGCCTTTCAATGTCTAGGTGCATACCACCGGTTTAGGGGCGTCCCAAAATGTAGCTTACATTTTTGGAGGTTCCGTTTTCTTAACGCCTTTCTGTGTTTTCCCTTTTTTCCTGCAGACCTTTTCTTCCTTCTCTTCCCGTTTTTTTTTGTATTTCTTTCCTTCTTCTTAGATACCAGTGGGCCCTAGGGCCATTACCCGCTTCCTGACGAAGCCGCTCATGAGAATCTGTTGCTGCATTCTACTGCTGCATTCTTTCTATGCCTCCCCTCTCCCCTCTCAGTTGCCGTAGAGTCTTTGCATGCACACTTTCTTGGCTGCTTTACCCGGCTGCATCTTTAGTTTTGTAGTTTTCATATGTTGCCTTTCAACGTCTAGGTACATACCACCGGTTTTGGGGCGTCCCAAAATGTAGCTTACATTTTTGGAGGTTCCGGTTTCTTAACGCCTTTCT